CAGATAAGAAACTAGAAAAAACGCTCTTTTAGATAGCTTAAAAAGTTTTTGAGGAGATTGATTACACATCAAACACCAGCTCTTGGGAGAAGAGGTAAAAACTCATTAAAATCAACCTAATAAATACCTGGAAGTTTTACTCAAGTTTAAACGGTCTTCCGCTAGCAGTACCATACATAGGAGAATTCTTGCACGGATATTGAACAAAGTAGTACAAAAGTCTGGAGCCAGTCAGGTTAATATTTTTTCTACCACCGTCGTTGAAGGAACTTTTGACCTGCACATGAGTTCATAAAGGGAAGTGCAACCAATGTTCCTACTGCGCGGAGAAACCCATTTGTCATTTGCGTAATACTGCTTACATGATTAACAGAAAGCATTACGACTTCGTCTTAACGGACACAGAAGAGCATGTATTCAGCCTGCTTCTTATCATAACGAACGCTTCTCTGGGCACAGGACTTCGAAGCACGCCATGGAAGCACCCCCTAACTTCCAGATAACAGTGTTACATCGCAATAAAATAAACACTATGGAGAGAAAGATTATGGAGGCGTATGAAATAGGAAACATCAGCCGAAAATAAATAAAAGAAATGAATGAATTTTTAATACTGATTTGTTGATCAGCAAGCCCATAAATGGAGAATACATTTCATTTATTACTAACAGCACTGTACCATGCAGACGTCTTCTCCTGCCACTTAGCAGGACTTTATCCGGTCCTCTTATCTTCCTTATAAGATACAACTGCGCTCTGGCGTTTCTCCCTTCTCAGCATTGCACATATCGTAACTTAAGGTCTGATGATGGTTTTATGAGAAACCGAACGTCATCAATAAGATACAACAAACTTTTCATCGACAATTTACTATCCAAAATAACATGAAACTCAGGGATAGAAGTATACTGAAGCAGTATTGATTTATGAAATTGACGACGAATCAATTGCGGACTTTGCTCAGTTCAGCCACTTCAAGTATCTACAGCTGTCACGCACGCAAAAATCAAGACAAATTTCAAAAAGACCTGAAACATCTAGATACTATTGAAGCTAGCACTTTCCTCAGTTCAGGCACTTCAAGTATCTACAGTTGTCACGCAAAAAATAGGTCTTAAAGGCAGTGTTGCTCACATTTTGTTTACATTGTCATCAGCAGCACTTTAAAGGTTGAGCAATACGTACAAGGACAACGTACGCAGCGTAACATGCATAAAGATGTGAGGAATACGCGATGTACGCAGCGTACGCTTCATATCATTATGCACGATTGCCTACGCTGCGTACGTCGCGTATGCCGCTACGCCGCGCAATCTAGCTCAATCTTAGAATTCGTTTGGAGACATTTGTTGTAATAATCACATGCAGCAGATGAAAACTAGACCAATAAGTTTGACCTTCGCAAAATTACCCTTGGGTATCGGGAGTACTTGACCATGAGAAAATGGTCAATGCGTGCAAACTGTTGCAGAGGTCGTAGGAGCGTAAATGGGACGTCATATATGCTGCAAAGTAGTTCTCCTTGCCAAAAGCTCGCGAATTATTATTGTATCAATGTACCCTCGATCTTGCCCAATGTATTCCCTCAAAATGTCGCTCGACCTCGCTTCAAGATTGCGACACGTTGCGGGCGCATTTTTGACGTTGTTTGGCAAAAAAAACAACGTATTATGTTGTCCCAAAACTAAACTCCTTTTTAAAATAATTTGAACTGTTTTTGTCACGGCCGAATTAAGGAACCACTCGATAGAGCGGAGCAATTTCTACAAGAAAACCACCAAAGATCCACCTAAGTCGTAATTCAGGTAAAATTTGGGGCCAAAAATCGAAATTTTTCAGCTATCTTAAAAATTGGATCTTCTTCCAGAAAATTCCTATGGATTTCTAACTTCTTGGTCTTTATATAGTAGACACACAGTAGTACTCAAAAATGTATTTGGCGGATTTTTAGGGCTCAAAATTGAGAAAAAAAGATGGTTCAAAAAATGCCAAGTTCCACTTTCGGGGCTTTCTGTGTAAAACTTGGTGTTTCTCGATTATAAGAGCACATTATATAAAGCGCTAAACGTCTGTCTTTTTGTGCGTGTATGTGTTTGTCTGCCTGTCATGAAATTCATAGAGGCAGCAGCAGCAAAGCTATCGAGCTACAATTTTGCATAGCATACCGTACAGCATGTAAGCTCACCATGCACAAGGACGAGCCGGATCAATAAGCGGGTCCTGCAAAAATTGCCGCCTCAAAGGGGTCCAAGCTTGCTTTTGGCGCGCGAAACTAGGTCACAAACGCAATTTTTTGCAAAGTCCTGATTTGCCTGCCAAGCAAACCTGCGCTTTAAGAATTCTAGCTTAAAAAGTGCTCAAAAAGTTTGCTTTTCCGCGAAAACAGCGCCAAAAAGCATTGACCGCGTAGAGAGTTGATTGGACAAGGTTTTACCTAAATATCTGAAAAGATTTTTGCATGGAAATGTACCCCAAAATGACTATTATCTTTATAACAATCACCAAGCCAAAATAAATTCAATAATCTGTTCGAATTCATATTAATTCCTTTGCAAAAAAGTTTTTCTCTCAAAATTACCGATCTTACATGGAAGATGCTTCAAGAATGAACAGTTGTTTACGATTCATTTATGATGTACAGCCTCGCGCTGTGAATTTTAAAGTCATCATTTTGGGAGCATGAATAAGACGGAGCCAGTGCGAACCTCGGCGAAGCGGAGGTGACGCACTGGTAAGAGCACATACAGGGATAAGGTTCAAAAGTTATACTTAGTAAGGGCTTGTAGTATACAATGACAGATATGGGAGGGGCTGGGGCCTCGTTTCTCGCTTTCTACGCTCGGAAAAAATTCGGTAAAGGCATATTTGAATACTACTATAGCTTACTGTATATTGACCAGGTTTGAAGGTTTGTAGAAGTCTTTGTCGCAGAAATCAATTTTTAGGTGTCAAATTTCCGGTTTTGGCTTCAAACTTTCATGGAAACGACTTAGGCGGATCCTTAGTGGATATTTTGTAGAGCTTAATCTGCTCTATCGAATGATACCCTAAATCTACTAGAAAAACAAAAACAGCTTGAATTATTCAAAAAGAGTTTATGTTGGAAAGTAGCATTTCTTGTTTTGTTTTGTGTTGTTATTGGCTTGTGATCTCTAGGATATATTGGTATTGTATTGACCTATGCACGGGATCTGAGCGCTATGTAAGGCGCTCCCTGCTATCTAGGTCATTTGTCTCGTCTTATCGTCTGTTCTTTTTAAATCCGGTCTACTAATAAATCTACTATTCTACAAGTGTCCTGGATCCACCATAAGTACAACTACAAGTAGAAAAAGAATGCTACAACGGTTTACTTTTGGGACAACCTAATAGAAAGGCCTGTGCTACGTTGTTTTTCCCGCCACTTTACGCTAGGCGATGCTCCTGCAACGTGACGAAGCGAACGCCGCAACAATCCATAAATCTACGTCGAGCTAAGAGGATACATAATTTCAAGCTTACTCGCTTTCGAGTACCTATGTCATTGAGTACTGTTTTTGAAGAGAAGTTCAGATACAGTAAACTGCAATAAAAGCAGTTACATCCAACAGAATAGTTTTCTCATCCATTTGCAGCCGAACGCATTTTTCGCCTTCTTCGAAGTATAGTTTGTTAGTACTCTGCTTAATTGTGACCAGTATATCTTGCAGTTTTCCGATTGGGCCTCTCCATCGAAGTTATCTATAATCTCACCGTCATTAAGAAACCTTTTACTGTCCGATTATCAGCTAATTTCTACTTATTCAGGCACATCTACATCAAAAACATTATATCAAGTGATGGGAATATGATGCAAAGAAGTGTATTTTTCAGCGTGGGAATATGATGCGAAGGAGATGTGTATTTCAGCGATGTTTGTAGTGTATTGTGGAACAAATAGCTTGGATTTTGAATGCAGTGTCTCTTCATATCTGAGGTATAATGAAGTTTTTTGGTATCATTCCTTTTAAGCAACTCAACTCATAGAATAACAATATGGCAAGAACAAGGATATAACAGAATCTTCCAAAAGCTGATTCCGCTCTGCTGGTGAAAATCGGCAGAATGCTCGGCTTTTGTGAGCCGGACGAGCGTATACAGTGGCACATCAAAAAACGAACGGGTCGACAGATCTTAATGTCCACGTACGGTGTTTGGGGGGCGCTCGGAAAAAATTTTGTTTGAGTAATTGCAATTTCATTGCAACTACCTAATATTCTACTTCGCAATGACCATTACTCGATAGACCCATCCTTCGCGAAAAACCTCTCAAAAAAGGATAGAGGCAATGCTGGCAACATGAGTTTCCCAAGCAAGAGTGCCTACTAGCGTGGACCTGACATGTCAACACACTTCCAGTGTATAAACTCGGACCGCATACTTCAATGTGACGGCCTTTGTTGCAAATTTGATGCCATAGCAATGCGATATATCTTATTGATCGAAAAAGCAAACAATCAAATTTCACATCTATTCTTTATTATTGCAAGCAGTTAAAGGATTGCGACTCATACAATTTAAAGCTGGCCACGGCTTCAGAAAAAGCATTATCAAAATTTGCATGAAAAGACGCAGACAAAACAGCTTGATAACCCAGCAGAGATGTGTACCAAGCTTGAGTGGTTCAAATGCGAATTAAATTGAAACATTCGATCAACATTCAATCAGAACTCCGTTTTGATTCGAGTCTTTGATTTTTATTCGAAACCTGTTTTGTAATCATTCGAGTTTTCGAATTTTATTCAAAAATGGAAGTCCAAGTTTCGAATTTTGAATGTCAGTATAAGCGTTTTATTCAAAATGATTTTTTATTGAAATCGGAAGCATGTGTACTGTCCACATACCAGTTTTGTCGCTCAATCTCGGTATTACAAAGAGTTATATTGCCGTCACAAACTAGCCTATAATCTATTGTAACGAAAGTATAAGTGACATGTCTCCTTTTTCTCAGTTAAATTCGATATAGACAAATAACAATGCATTAAGGGCGTTGTGTGCATGTCCTGCGCAACTTCTGAGAAGAAAAGATCAATTCTGTTCCTTCTTGATGGTAGCGGAACTTTAGGAAATGAAGGCTGGAGAAAGGTAACCTTTTTATTCCTTCAACCAAACCAAACAATGAAGTATACAAAAGAAAGGAAACCTTTACATTTTTCTTGTGTAAAAACCTTACAAGCTTTACGAACATTCAGTTTATATTAGTTAAGATTAGGAAAATAAGCGGCTGTTTTCAAGAAGCAGTTTTCTCCAACTCTAAAAGATCGTTTTACATGTTAGAGGAAGACTCTTGCGATTCTTAATATTCGTTTTACACTCTTGCGAATCTTATCATTTCGTAGATAGTATCCTCCTGAATGCTGAGCTGAAATCAGCTTTATGGCTTTTATGTCATACTAGCTGGCATACCCGGTCTTGCCCGGTTCATGAGCCACGGAGCCATAGGAATGGGGAGCGCATGATATATGTGTTCTGTTTCAAACTTACGCCTTTCCGTCTTTCATCCGGCTTCCATCTGCTGCATTTTTGCCCTCCCCGCTTTCCTTCTCCGGCCTTGCAGCCTATATCCACCTGCGCGGTGCGTTGTAATTGCAAATGCCTACCTCAAAGCAGCGTCATCTGGAGGTACCGCATCCTTCTGACCGCAAAATGAGAATGAGCTTCTCTGCTATTGTTTACACCAAATTGTGTATGGGGTATGACAGTGGTTGATAAGACTTCACTTTCATCGCAAAGTGCCCAAATTAATAAATTAATAGAAGGATTTAGCGAATCGCTTCAAAAAGTAGCCTAAAACCATCTACGCGAAAACATATACACGCAAAATTTCAGCTCAATGGGTTTATGCGCAAAGGAGTCTATAAAAAAACACACGGTCAAGAGTTGCACAAACTTTGAGGTATAAAAAGTGCGGCTCATAATCATACGAACACCCAAAATTTTGTAAGCTTTCGGACTTTTTGGGAGGAACTCAAAAAGCCGTTGATACCACGCGAAAGATCACAGCCGAAAACGGTATATGATTCATAAGAATGGAAATTGATATCAATTTTAGGAGTGTTTTTGCGCCTAATGCAAATTTTTAGCGGTTCATAATTATACGAACACCTCAAACAAAGGTCCATTTTTCATTCAAGATTGCAATCGTTTGAGTCCAAATTTTTTGTGGAGTTACAGTAACAAAGTCTGACATATCCGCTACACACTGAACCCAGTGCAGTTCAAAACGAGGACCGTTCCTTTTTTCAGAAGTCTCTAAATGCTTTCGGAGTGATTTGGGCTCCAGAAACATCCGTTCTTTTGTGGTTTACGCGCTCTAATTAGCTTCTCCAAAGTATGAGATAAAATAAGCTCTTTCGATAGGTATTTCGTTTGACGCTAAAATCTTCGCGTTTTCGTGCCGTTTTTCAACAAGTTCCATCTTTAGCACAGAGTTAGCACGATTTCGAGCCTTAAAACTCAGCTTCTCTCTTGCGCAAACATTTGATATGAAGCAGCTGCATTGCTTGCATGATGATATTTTTGTACCAAAGTTTTTGGATTTTTCTAGAACTGATCTTGCGGCTGTGGAGCTGCAAACCAAATAAAGGTGAGATTGCAATAGTAAAAACAGTATTTCTGGTGAAATAACTCCTGCGTGACCAAAACAAATGCTCAACGCTGCTGATTTTTTCTAGGCAAATATAAAGTCTTGTAAACTTCTACATACTATATGCTCACTTCCATGTACGGCTTCAGAAGCTGAGTTTTGAGGCTCGAATTCGTGGTAACTCTGTGGTAAGGTTGGAACTTGGCACGAAAACACAAAGATTCTCAAAGCGTCAAACAAAATACCTATCGCAAGGGCTTATTTCATCTCAAAGCTTCCAGAAGCTAATTAGAGCGCGTAAACCACAGAAGAACGGATTTTTCTGGAGCCCAATCACTCCGAAAGCATTTAGCCCCTTTTGAAAAAAGTAACGATCCTCTTTTTGAACTGCACTGGGTTTAGTATATAGCAGATATGTCAGACTTTGTTACTGTAACTCTTCAAATTTGGACTCAAACGATTGCAATCTTGAATGAAAAATGGACCTTGTTTGAGGTGTTCGTATAATTATGAACCGCTAAAAATTCGCATTAGCCGCAAAAACACTCCTACAGTTGACATCGATTTCCATTCTTATGGATCACATACCGTTTTCGGCTGTGTTCTATCGCGTGGTACCAACGGCTTTTTGAGTTTCTCTCAAAAAGTCCAAAATCTTACAAAATTTTTGGTGTTCGTATAATTATGGACCGCACTTTATATAGATACTGTTATAGCAGTGGTGGACCGGGGCCTCCCCTCCCCGAGAATGGGCCGCGAAATTCTTTAAATTTACTTACGTGCATTATAAAAATGTGCAAATGATTTGTTTATTCTTGTAAACAATTAAAATAATTTTTGAAAATTTTTAAAAATTTAAATTAGCCCTATAAAAAATTTTTTTCGGAGGCGTGCCTAAGGCCTAGCCCCCTTTTTCCAAAAAATACAAGTTGGGGACCCACAAGAATTTTGAGAAGCTCCTTAAAATTTTTTTCATTTAGAAATAAAAATTTTTGCCGCTTCTCCCCGAACGGAAATTTTGGGACCGCCACAGGTTACAGGTATTTTCCTTACGCAGCTCTTCGACATACTGTACACTCTCGACTAAAGCTATTGCGACGTCTTCTTGTGGATTCTGACCTTCGTCCGTCATAAGCCATCTGCTTGTCCGAACTTCGTAGTTTTGACATATTCTATGTCAAAGTCGTACTCGAGTAGGACTGGAGCCCTCATGAAACGGCTGGCGGAACAGATTGTATTCCTTATCACCGAATATGGCTAGCAAATGTTGTAAACCGTTAGACAGCAGAAATATCCGCCCAAATATGCGCTTTTTGAATTTCTTGACAGGAGGACAATTCGCAATGCTTTCCTTTCGATCTGCAAATCATTTTTCTCTGCTTTTTAGAGAGACCACGATGCATGCCCAGGCGGCTTCTCGGATTCATCAGCATACCTGTGCATATCACGCATCCGGCTCCATAGTCGCTGTCGTCCGCTGCCACAACGACCTTCTATCTTCAATCTTCTATGGATTGTGATGAACAAAAAGTGGCTTAATGTTTCATTGAGCTTCTCGAATGCTTCCTGTTGTTTTAAGTCCATTTCTGCTTCGCTTCGCATTCTTGAGCGTCGAATCCAAGGGTTCACACAGATCTTTGTTTTTTGGCATAAACTTTACATAGTATGTTATCATGCCCAAAAAAGCTCTCAGTTGTGCAATATTCTTCGGTTCGTCCACATTGTTGATAGCTTTGATCTTTCTAGTTTCGGCCTTCTGCCATTTCTGTCCACTATAAGCCAAGAAGTTACCAATGTACATTTGGTCTGAATCCGTATTCGGCGACCGGTGCAAATACTGCTAATATACTGCTAATTGCCCTATGTGTTCACCAGTGCTTCACCTCTGCTTCGCAGAGGTTCGCACTGGCATCGTGAACTGTGGTAAACTCACTTTCTGAGAGCTTGTCTCTCAAATCATTGTTCGGTTTATTGCAAAGTGAGCCGTAGTTAAAAATGAACTATACTCGCTATCTTACCTCACATAATGTTTAGTATCGTAAATCATTCCTCACTGTAATTTCGTAACGGACAAACTCCACACATCTTCAGATTAAGCCGCTTAAAGTCATGATTATCGGTTCTTCCACAAAGTAGTATGTCGTCAAGATACGTTGCCACATTTCACAAACCGCTTGCCATCTTATATGAAGCTGAATGTCTGTTTGTATGTCTGTCTGTATGTATGTGTGTACGTATGTGCTGAATAGAAATTTTTATTTCTAAACCGATTTATACCAAACTTGGCACACATACACTTCGGGACAGAGAGCATGCCGTAGGCTTCTTTTCGTTATCGACCGATACCGATTTTGTCGATTTTTTGCATAGTATGGCCTACTAGGCTGGAAGATGGCATAGGGGTGTAAGGAGCATGGTGATCACAAGTATAACATTAGTTCATGGAAATATCGTCTTTTGCAAAGTTCCAGGGTTGGGAGTTGGCACAGGGGGGTAAGTGAGCACCCTGATCACGAATATAACATCAGATTTTGAAATTGTCGATTCTCCTTATCCAGCCTATCGATTTTTGCAAAGTTTAAGCTACAGGGCTGGGAGCTGGGACAAAGGGGTAAGGCTTAAGTGGGCATGCTAACTACTCACAGGGAAAGGTTGTACAGAGGTAGGAATGGGGCCCTTATCAAATCATGACAGGGCCGAGCGGAGCCGAGTAAGCCAGCTAATTTTAATCATAATTCGTTGAAAAATTCCTTTCTTTTGAGAACTCGGTACAGATAAGCGTCCTGCGAATTTATCTGCAAAAATATTATACCTCCATGAGCGCTGCGAATATATCCCCCGGTGATGGCAAGGAATAATCGCACGACTACTTGTTGAGTCCAGATGGGAAATCAGCACACATTTTCAATACTCCGTTTTCATTGCATTCTAAATTCCCAACTCCTGTTCTTACTGCTATCGCTGCTTCTGTAGATATCTTGTTTTAAACCATGCTAAGCAAGCAAGTGCTCTTCTCTTCGCCACTTGTTCGCAAAATCTCTCTTTATGATCTATCTTCTCGCATTTCTTGCAAACCACTCTTTGCTTTGCGATCTCTAGAAAAGTATCCATCACCGCAGTTCCAGCGCTCCGGCACTTCCCTGCTTGTTGCTTCGACGTCTTCGAAGCAATCAGCAACCGTTTCACCATTTTTTATGAGACGAAAGTTATCGCATTTCCGGTACAACTCAACTCCTGTAGCGACATCTTTCGTCCTTCCTTGTCCGGTGGCAGGCAACTATTCGCTGCCTAATTTCAGCTTCCCTTTGCCTCTTCTCGTCAGATATCCATAACGGGCATTTGATTCTGATCCAATAATTGGTATCAGTGGCACTGACGGACGGCCGCTTTCCGAAGAAGTCTCTTGCCTACCTCTAAGCAACATTTTGTAGAGCTGGCTTCAACTTAGATCTACAGTATGGAGCGAATCACCGGTCGCTCTTCATCACTGTAGGATTAC